AACCTTGAACTTGAACATTAACCCTTCATTCAAACTAAACTTGAACTTGAACATTAACCCTTCATTCAAACTAAACTTGAACTTGAACATTAACCCTTCATTCAAACTAAACTTGAACTTGAACATTACCCCTTCATTCAAACTAACCTTGAACTTGAACATTAACCCTTTCTCCGTCCGCAGGTTGACGGAACTCGGACCTCGCATGAAGCTGCTGCTGTTTAAGATACAGGAGGGCACAATGGACGGCAAGGTGCTCTTCCACGGATTCCTCAAGAAGACAGAAGAGGAGAAGATACTGATCGACGAGAAACTGCAGAAGAGGAAGTGAGTGCGCGTGAGGAAGGAAGTGAAGGAGGGAGGAAGTGTGGAAGTGAGTGAGGAAGTGAGTGCGCGTTTGCACCGCATCGTATTTGTCTGTTCGTTTGTTGTTCTTCTTCGTGCACTGAGCGGTAGATTAAATCGTTGATCGTATTGTTTACAGTACCGCATCGTATTGTATATATCGTATATGTGACCGGTTATAGCCAAATGAGTCACTTGGAGCAATTTTTCAATTTCCAGATAACCATATGATGATGTTCTGCTGTCTTTTATCTTCATATTGGTCCATAAATTTTGAGAATCGGATAAAAAATAAGATTTAAATAACCCTTGACAAATCAGAAGAAATGAGGGAAAATCGAGTCTAAAGTGTGACCAAATTCAAATATATATATTGATATATTCGATACAAAATAGCAAAATTATATCTTTTAAAGATATTATATGTACATTTCAGTTTCACCCAGATATTCCGATTCTAAGAAAAAACATTCTAAGCTATCTATTTCAGTTAAAATCACAAAAACAAAAAATTTATGCCATAGGTAAAACCACACATAGCGTAAAATCTATATGTGCGACCTCCGACTCATTTGGCTATAACGGGTCATACATATATGGCGTGTGTTTGTTTTTCTTCCCGCGCTGAGCAGTAAATATGACATTGTATTCGTCTCGATTTCGTCGATTTTAAACGTTGTCTTTCGACTCGTCAGGCGCGTGAAAGAACAGAGGAAGAAATTGCAGGAAGCCAACGTGAGAATGAAGCTGAAGGAGAAGGAAGATCACAAGAAGCGATCGTTGCGAGGAATGATGAAACCCAGTGAGTGTGAGCTTAGCTACTAGCCGCGCGAATCGGTTTTTTTTCCGATTTCTCGCGGTCTATTTACGTGGAATTTCAATGCATAAATTTACAGACTTGCGTGTGAATAGAGTCTGTGCAGATAGGCGACTAGGTACTGGTACGGAGAACAAGAAAGATATGACAAGTGTACATACGTGCGTGCGTGCGTGCGTGCGTCCGTGCGTGCATTGGTGCGTGCGTCCGTGTGTGCGTGCGTGCATTGGTGCGTGTGTGCGTCCGTGCGTCTGTGCCTGCGTGCGTGCGTGCGTGTGTGCGAGCGTGCGTCTGTGCCTGCGTGCGTGCGTTGGTGCGTGTGTGCGTCCGTGCCTGCGTGCGTGTGTGCGTCCGTGCGTCTGTGCCTGCGTGCGTGCGTGCGTGTGTGCGA